TCGCCTCTCTCTCCTATTAGTCCTGTAGTAGAAGTTGCACAGATCTAAAGTGAGACTGAGGCTGAACAGGACTTGAAGCCACTTGCTTATATAAACCATATCATCACCAAGGTTCTGGCTAGTAATAACTTAACATCCTTGAAAATCCCACTGTCACCAACCAGGACGCTCCATAAAATCCTTTGCAAGCAGTATCCACGATCTAAAATGGTTTACAAATGGTTTTCTACATGTTAATCAACTCACTCGCGCAAAACAACCATGCAGTGACAAATGGCGGCTGATATGGGCGCAGTAAAATAAATCTGCCTGGTTATGGCGATATTCATCCGCATGAAGCATAATTCACTTCTGATTGTACCCGCGACTAAATGCTGAGGAAATTATACAAAACATCAGTTATTTTAAATTAATACCTAATTCAGACCAAGGATAGGATTCGATGCCGTACACAGCAAAGTTATATGAGAGAATTGACTTCAAGCTTTGTTTATTCCAAGTATTTTTCAAAAATTATATATTCTCACTCTGTTTTTAATCCGTCCAACATGTACTTGGATTTTACGCTAATGTGAAGGCAATATTTCTATATTTCTTAATGTGCTACATTGAATGACTAGTTAGCAGATTGGTCCCACAAACTAAAGTAAAAAAACAGCAGCTATGTCAACTCGGCATTCATTAAATTTGTGTAATTTAAATAATACTTTTCCCTGCCTGTACGATTGGTCCATCCTTCATATATAGGAATAAATAAATAAATACTGATAGGCAAAGTCACGTATCGATCCAATCATATACCCCCCAAGAATATGTGAATTAATGCACAATGGTAGCAATAGAATGTGTGCATTATACAGCAGAGGTAAAATCATTTGGTAGATTAGATATCTGTCTTAATACTACAGTCAATCACGTCTCATAAACCGTTAATGCCCAGCTCTTGCTACGCTCGGGCCCACGCTGTTCTTCGAAGATTTCGGAAACGCTTAGTTATAACGGACGAAAAAACCAAAACACCGATTGGCCGCTTGAGAATTCTTCATTGCTACACCAACATATAAAAGGAATAACTGAACTAAGGTCTGTGAACAAATATTACAATAATAAATCATTATATTACTTTTGACGATGTTTCACTCTTCTTTCTGAACAGCGACCGATGAGACGATGACTGTCGTATTGATGCCTCCACGAAAATTGGGGAAGTTGATTTTGAGCAAACAACCATGAATTGATCGTTCAATCTTCAACTCCATCGACACTCCCCGGCAAAATAGGGGTCCAACCCTTTTTTCCTTCACGACCAATGCACGTTGACTTGGATGCCATTGCGAGAACCTGGGTAACACGGACAGAGCTGAAATGGAAAACGAACAGAAAAGCCAACACACCACAAGCATACCCACAGCACAATCTCACACATCAATGACGACCTGCGCCTCCAGACAGAGACCTCCTCTTGACATCTTGCAACACAATCGCCACTTGCTAGAATGACTCTTGCAGAATGCAAAGAGAACCTCACGATACTCTACGCACATCCTCTTAATTACTCACTACCAATTACCACTGAAATCGCTTGTCACTCATTCTGCCTCAGTTCTAGTAACGGTGACGCATGCGAGCCTCAGTCGTTTACACTCTTTCTCCCCGGCGTGTCGGACCGCAGCTAACAATCATCTCCGTGTGCGTTTCATTCTCAGCAATAGCCTAGCCTCCCCGGCGTATACGACCCATCTGCTGTCTCTAACATCAATCAATTCATTCATGGATGTAGAAGACTCGAAACAACTTCAGAAGTAATCACGACGAAAATTTTAACAAAATTATGCAATAAAAACAAGGTACGAAAACAACGAGTAAACACAATGAATCCAAAAAACACCAATTGATATGACACACCACACGTATACACAAACAGTACAAATAACCTCGCCGATCATGTCTTGGTGGAATTATTTTGAAGAATTGCAGGACTTACACCAGTACGCCTACAACCCTTCACAGGTTGACGATTGTAAGATGTGGAATGTCCAGACACAAACAAGATTAACCAACAATTACATCAATTGGAACTCACACAACTATTTAACACAAACATATGTACAATCAACACATCAAATGTTGTGGATTCTGACACGACAAACTACCCTTGAAGAACCGTAGGACTTACAGCAGTACGCCTACATTCCTTCTCAGGTTGATGATCCAAGTGGAAGTCGTCCGGACACAAACAGAATTACCAACAGCTAGATGACAGATGATATCAATTCAGTATATACAATATGAACATATGTACAAGATCATACACCAAGCACATTGGACTGCTCATTGATGCGCTACCCTTTGAAGAACTGTAGGACTTACACCAGTACGCCTACAACCCTTCTCAGGTTGACGCTCTAGGTTGGAAAATCGTCGCAGAGTTCATTTGCTAACTTCCTTCTATCAGCTATATCCTCAAATCTGAACGGCAACACGCCCATGTCATTGTATCGTAGAATATAGATGACCAACAAACACACGACATATCTCATCAACCAAGTATAGAAACAGAGTAATTTACACCAAAGATAATAACATTCAAATAGTAACTTGAAACTAGAAATGCCTTTATTCGTGCAAGTCAATTTAACAATAACTCTCTCCTTTACACTTGGCTTATCCACACTAAACTGACCATTGATATTCGTCCTTTCAAACGAACTGATACTACCATAGTCATTGCACAAGATACTTGAGTTGATGGGTGTCTGTTTCATTGTGGATGACAGCACCAACGATGACTGAGTGACACAAGGTGATGAACTTAGTGGTGGATCAGAAGCTGTTCTTGTTCGGCTCTCAGATAGTTGTCCAACTGCAAGATTACCACCACTGCTGTCTTTCACTACTAGTTCGGGTTTAGCACTATCATCTGATGATAGGTGGGCTACACGCTGATCAATTACACTGACTGTCTCACAAGTATGCACACCTTTTGGAACTGCATCTGCGTTCAATTCTACTTCACGTTGTAGTTGTACAGAACCTTTATTTAACTTAGCAGTAGTAGGCATATCCCTCATCTCATCATGATCAACCAAAGACAACTGTGAAGTATCATGATCATTATCACGAATATTCACTTTACCGTCAACTTCATCATTTTCAAACTCTTTAATAACAGAAGTAGACAATTTTGGTTCCTCCTCGCAAATCCTAAAAGGTTTTATAACTTCACTCTGACTAGTAATACCTTGTAAACTTGTAGGGTCAGAACTGCACTCTGAAGCAGTAACTCTATTCTGTGACACTTTATTCAACAATGGCTTACCAGTTGTAACTACAGACTTCTTGACCAAACCGTTATCGTTACACAATTCGGAGTCAGGCCTGGAGTTTACATTTAGCTTATCAATGAACTTGCTCACTGGTTCACAGTTCACTTCTGTATGCACCTCTTGCACACGTGTAAAACACAACGTGTTTCTCTTGCATCTTGCAACTTATCTGTTGAGGATGTACTACGAAACCTGTTACACTCACTAGGTCTATATGCATTACTAGACATCATGGAGCTTCTCGATATCCACCTCTCTGAGGCTTATTCGTCATCAATGATTGCATTTTGCTCTCAGACTGCTCTATTCTATGGGTGAGATCTAATAGACTGGAAACTTGCTCATAGATTGATTGACACTA